AAAAAAAAAAAAAAAAAAAACACCCACCACAAGTACGAAAGCACATGTCTTGCTGAGGAACAGTGATGGGAATTGCTGATTTTGCGTTAAGAGTGTTTATCATTAGATAATTGATCGCTTTCAGTTTTGAGTGTCTTTCTGTGAGGTATCTGCTTCTGTATGCTGGTATGAAGGTGCTCAATTCTTCAGCAGATAACCCTTTAGGATTTTTTTCATAAATCTGTGAAAATGATCTATGAAGCTTTGTTTGCTTGCCCTCAAAGTCATCTGTAGTAGTGTAAGCATTGAAGCTGATAGTGATGCCATGGTTGTGCTCTGTAATGACTTTCTGTAAACTTCTGTGGATTATGGCAATTCTCTAACAAGGTCAATGCCTAAATATGTAGCGGCCTGAAATTAAACGAAAGAATCCAACTTGATAGAATAAAGATAAGGAAAATGAACAAAAAAAAGAGCTTGATCTCTACAATTTTCTTCGATGATAGATAGAATATACGCAAACCATGCCCTTTCTTTGTTAGTAAGACACAAAGATTAATAAGAAAATTATATGTTGTCTGGTTTTGTAGAAAAACCATGGTCCAATTGTTTAAGATTTTTTAAGGATGGTAGTAGTAGGTCACATTTTAACTGGTGGAAACCGTANGTAGGCATATTGTACCATGTATATGCTAATAACTGACAGAAGATTGTCCCAGGAAAATTTGACAGGTCTACAGAAGGTTGTCTTTCTTTTGGTGGTTAGAGAGTTATTTCAATTGAATTATGTTGTCCCATGACTCTATATTAGCTGAAACACTTCCTTGTCAAAAAAAATATTAGCTGAAACACTTAGAAAACCTCCCTGATTAGAAAAAGCACTTAGAAAACCTCTCGTACAAAAATAAATGAATGTTCATGGTCCACATGGCATCTTCTTCATAACAGAAAACAGTAGAACTATGACCAAAGGGCATCCTTTCAATTGGTTTAAATCTTCCCGTTTCATTTCTTTCCAATCATAAGAAAAAAGAGCCTTTCAGTCTAAAAAATAGCTGTAACTCAACAATTTTTAATCCTTGATTAATGGCGTTTTATGAGACGGAGTGTTGGCCAGTCAAGAACTCTCATGCTCAGAAGATGAAAATAGTGAGATGAGGATACTGAGGGGATGTCTGGGCATACTAGGAGAGATATGGTTAAGAACGAAGTTATCCGGGATTGGGTGGGAGTGGCCCCTGTGGATGAAAAGATGAGGGAAACGAGGCTAAGGTGGTACGGGCATGCGAAGAAGAGATGCACAGATGCCCTAGTGAGAAGATGTGAGAAGTTGACTATTATGGGTCTGAGAAAAGGTAGAAGCAGGCCGAAAAAGTAGTGGGGAGAAGTGATAAGACAGGACATGGAATGTCTCCAGCTTACTGATGACATGACCCTAAATGGGAAGTTATGAAGGTCGAAGATTAGGGTTGAGGGTTAGTAGGTCGTCGAGTTTAGGACTTCGTATCTGTTACGTTTATTTTGGTTGTTTGTTTTTGTTTTACATACCAGCACTAGTATTATCATTTTAGTGTTCTCTTATTTGTGGTGTCCAGTAGAATATGTTGTTCCCCTTGCTTGGTTATATTAATGCTTTGCTTTTGTTGTTAATGTTTTTATCTTTTGTATTTCCGACATGACCTTCTTATTACCGTTCTCCTGTTTGTTTTCTTGAGCTGAGGATCTTTCGGAAACAATCTCTCTATCCCCACAAGGTAGGGTTAAGGTTTGCGTATACTTTACCCACCCCGGACCCTACAATATGGGATTACACAATATGGGATTACACTGGGTATGTTGTTGTTATTGATGAATTGCGTTTTATCATGGTGAGAATTTGAAAGAAATTTACTTTCTTTTTTGTTTGGATCAAAGATAAAGCGGTAACTCAAGCAATTTAAACACTTCCTGCTTCTTAGTTTGAATTAAAAAAGTGTTGTGATCTATTGAGCTTGTTGTCCCCCTCATTGCCGTGGAAGGGGGTTGTGGGTAAAGCTTAAATATCCTTCATGCATCTTTCCACTGAGCTGATTCTCACACATGCATTAGCGCGTTGATCAGCACTGACTTTCCATAGAATGCTCTTCAGTTTTGCGTATGAAGCTATTAGCATACCTAATGCCATCAAGAAATTGAGGTGAATGTAGTTGGCTAAGCTTTTGCATGAAAATAATAATAAGAATATGGCAGCCACACAGAGAGAGAGAGAGAGAGAGAGAGAGAGAGAGAGAGCTGGCTCTACATGTACCCATGATATCAGTTGCATGAATATCTGTATTGTCTGTTGATCTATGTACGTTTATGTATGTCTAATCTCTACGTGGAAAGCTGAATAAAGAATATGGTAAAGTAAACTTAGAAGGGCCACCATAAGTGGTGATTTCAGGTCAAAATGTAAGTGAGAGCACCGTCCAGTCCCGTGAAAACTTGAATAAGGTCTCAAATTGCAAATGTAAGACAGCAAAAAAATAGAATGGAGATTTGAAGAGGGACAGAGTTTGTGGACGCCGAGGGCTCTGTTTATTCAAACAGTGATTTGAGGTCTAATTCCTTTGGCGAAAATGTTATGTACTTGTATAGTACATTGTGTGTGTGTGTGTGAGACCTGCTGCCGTAAGATCTGCTTATTCTCTCCGTCCTCTCTCCTTCTCTTCCGTAGTGTAACTTTTCAGGTTTTCAGTAATGAGGTTCTGTAGCACTTTATAATGTATTTAACTTCTGCATTGCCTCGAAAATAAGAAGGAAAATATCTAATATATGACTCTATTTTTCGAGTGCTTGCAGACTTGCAACTCATTACAAAGATCATGTAAACATTGTGCAGTGGACAGAAAGCCTGAAGTGGTCATTGTCCTGCTTCCTCCTCATCTGAGTTACAACGCAAAACTGAAAGTCGAAAATTCCAGTGTTCATTTACATTGTTTTTATGTTTTTTTAAAAATGAAAGTATTTACTACTGCATCTTTACTCTGACATGAATAGACAATCTTCTTGAAATTGCTGTTTACAATGCGATCTTTTCCACGTTTTAGGACTGCGAAATTGGTTCGTCACCCAGTATGAATCACGCGTATGTTTGTCTCGTTTGCTTTCTTAAAAGCTTTCTATTCCTCGTATTCTGTTAAATCAGAGGCCAAAAAGTCAAAAAGTGAGAAGCTAACTTGGAAAAGGAAGGTGACGCGCACTAGAATTCTTCGTCATATCATAAAAATATGCAATGCATCTTAACTCAACTTATAGCCTGTTTGGACAGGCTTTTCCGGCTGTGTTTGAGTAGAAGCATAAGTTATTTTTGAGAAGCTGAAAAAAGTAATACTTAAATTGTTAAAAGTTTGGTCAAACACTAATTGTTGTCCAAAAGCACAATTGATTAGCCAAATATAAATTAGAGTAATTCTTTAGAAATTTGGTGAAACGGCTATTAGTAAGTGGTATCATCTATATTCTAAGACTTAACGTAAAGAAGTAGTGCCTCTCATGCTTCCCTATGTTCCATTTGTTTTTTCCTCAGGCTATGTTCGTTGTATTTGCCCTTTCTGGCGTGATTCTATTGTCACTCTTGTCACACGAGATAAACACATGATTAAGCACAATGAAAATGACAGAACATTTCTCTTGTTGATTAGAGGACCTTGTTTTTCCCCCCCTTTAATTCTATTCCATTAGCAAATGGAGGCCATCGAATACTTTATCAATTTGCTAGAGGACAATGGAGGGCTACTTTAGGATTACTACTGTGAATTTCGTTAGAAACAGTTAATGGGGGTTTATGGTTCAAGAAATATTAGCAATGCTTACATGTAGACGACGGAATCTATTCTTGATTCTTCTTAGGTTTGCTTTCGTTATAACTGTTGCTGTTTACGATACGCTTTCCTTCCTTATCTTACTACTCCTTCCGGTCCACTTTAATTAAATTTTTTTTAAATATTTTCACGTATATTAAAGAATTCACCTTTTAATATTAATTAATAATAAAATTAACCATATTAACCTTAATTTGTTCACAAGAAATATAACAATTACTCATAGCCCATATACTCTTTATTCCAATGGCAACTTTGAAAAAAAAGTCAATTACTTCTTGATATCTGAAAAATCAAATATTATAGAGCACAAAAAAGGCCAAAAAATCAATTAAAGTGGACCGGAGAAAGTATGATTTAACCAAAGCTTTATTAATGTATTTTAACATCAATATATTACTAGGCTATGATTAAGTGGTATAAACAGACCGCATGAGTAAACTTTTTTCCAAGAAGGGGCCTGAACCTGAACACAAATACTGCTTTGAAAGATAATCTGCTCCCAATTCTATGCAACAAAGGTGTGGACCTCTTAGCTGATTGGGTCAAGAAGAGCGAAGTCCACAAAGAACAAAAAAGAGCTAAAGTACTTTACTTGCTTTGTTCTATGGCTAATCATAGACTTTAACCCTTTAACCTTTGCGTAAGCAACAGCAGCATTTCAGACGTTATTAGTGCTTTCGATGATTAAGTCAAGTCAATAGGCTTATCACAGCCTTTAATTAATATACACCTAAAAAGTGAAGGGGCATATAATATACAAAGGGTCTTACAATGGAGCACACCAAATAAAAAAAATCTAGTAATCAGAAATTAAAGCAAAAGTATATAAAACAAACGTGAAGAAGTGATAAGTGTCTATGAAAAAAACATGAGTTACACTCATCAATTTGGTGTAAACATTGGTTGCTTATAAACATTCTCCGTTTGTTTTTGTTTGCCTGCACTAATGGTCCTATAATATATTGAAATTCTATGTATAAACCAATCAGTGAAACAAGTGAATGATTAGCATGCGAATTCAGATGATACGGAAGAATGAATGGTGCGGATGACGCTTTATTTATTTTCCTATATACCCCATTGACCTGCTTCCAAATTCAAATACGAAAAATGATTACATCAATTCCTCGGGTCCTCCCGTTGGAGTAAAAAATCCTGTTCTATTTTGTATTGTTCTTGATTAAGTTTAAGATGTCGTTCGACTTATTACATTATATTAGGGATAATAATAAAATATGGAGTACTAAGATATGATTAAAAAAGTTGTAACAGATGTTCTTTTTTCCAGTTATCAAATATTATGAGACATCCCACAAATGAATGTAATAAAATTCACACAGAAAGTTAAAATGAAATACACCTTCATATTCACACGAAAGCACTAGTCGTGCGCTCAGCCGCTCACATTTATATCCGTTAAATAGTCTTGGGCTCTTCCTATTACTGTTACGTTAGTAAATGCAGAAGACAAAATAAAGGAAAAGAACATGATTTATACAGCTTTTATAGACCATTTTAACACACGAACGCCGAAAAATGTTACTATACAGTGGCGTAACCACCTTATGCCAAGGGTTAAAGGGTATGCTTTTCGATGAAAAATTATATTGCGTATATAAATTAAATACTATTACTATTTTATATAGTTATTTATTATATTTTGAACCCTCTTAACATATAACACAGTTGAGTGAAGCAATCCAACGATTCAGGATGTTCAAAGTACACTTAACACAGTTGTTCAAAGCAACGTGTATTTAATTCTTTTTCAATCTAAAAAATTTTCTAATAAAATAACTCCTAAATTTTAAATTTTTTGTAGAAATAAACAATTAATCTTAAAAGTAATTTTGTACCTAAAAGTTATTTCTTAAATAAATTTTATAATTTAAAAGTCAAACCTATAAAAATACAAAAGCTCTCTACAAATTACAAATCCTCTCGACTCTCCCTTTCCTTTGATTTTATTTTATTCTTGCCATTATTGGTAAAACACTTAATGTTGTTTTTTTGTTATTTTATTTTGATTTATAAAATTATAGTTCTATTGAAAGTTTTTTTTATTGTTTAGCTAAAGGTTGTGTAATTTGATCATCGACAAAAAAATAATATTGACTTAGTTTAAAGACTATATCCCAATTTTCCAGTCAAATCGTTCAGATTGTTCACTCAAGACTCAATTCAAAAACTAAATAGCTAAGACCCGGAATTTAACACTACTAAAACTTTTCCTTTCATAAGTTATTAATTTTCCATAAATAAAAGATAGAGATAGGATAACAATATTAAGCTTACAATTTTAAAAAGCAGTAAGCATCGATGAGTAGATTTCACAATTTTTTTCTGATAAAGGCACAGCTTTGCTTTTAATCCAATGGCTTTTCAGTTGTTTCTAGGTTTGTGCTTCAAGAGCATCTTTCGAAGCTCAGCAGCATCAATTTCATTGGCAACTCCCTCTGGCCTATAGTAACCAGTCACTGGATCTGGCACCCATGATGTCTTCACTGATTCCTCTCCACTTTTATTCATCATCATGTTGCTCCTTGGCACTCCTCCTTTTGCACCGCCCGAAACCACCCCTTGCGATCCCGCTGCGTATCCACGCCTACACATACACATGTCAAAAAAAACATCTCAATCACATCGACTGAAAAAAGGCATAACAGCAAAATCACCGAAATTATCAAAAACTCGACTCCTCCTATCCCCTGTTTTCGTTCTGCCTAATTTTATAATTATGCTGTGAATGCAACAAAGTATTCACTCGGATACGATACATGTTTATGTAGTTGAGAAAAAATTTAGTATATAGATTTATACGAAAAACGCTTATATATTTATATACTAACATAAAAAGTATAAAGAGTGCAGCCCGATTCACGCTCATTAATTTAAAAACATCGGATGGACTCTGTTTTATACAGGGGAAAAGGGATCGGAACATTCATATACTTAGTTCTTTTATCCAATGGATAAAAGATTGTTACGGTCATTACCTGCTAAGAAAAGCAGAAACAGAGTCGGAGACGAAAGCAGAAAGGACCTTGGTGTTAGAGAAAGAGCGAGCCATTTTTTCAAACGGTTAGAGTCGGAGCAAAAGAATTTCAAAGGAAGAACGCAGCAGCGGAAGGAATTGATTGTGGAGATTCCGCAGCGGCGAACTAAAATTCTCTAACTTCGACTCTCTGGTTATTCTAGGGTTACAACATATATACGAGAGGAGTAATGGGGAGAGGAGGAGGAGGTATATATAGAGATGGAGGAGAAGAGTCTTGGACTAGGGTTTTAAGTGGGGCCACAGGTCCTCTCCTGCATTGACACTTGGCCGGTGAATGCAGGCCTCTATAATTATTATAGAGTTTAAGTTATTACATGATCAATATTAAAAAAGAATTACACTGTATATCACCCAAAAGATCTTCATAAAAAGTGAAATTTATGATCTTAAAAATAAGAAAAATCGCTACCAGTTACATCAATAAAATATGAGTTTATAGTTTTTTTTGTGATAACTGTATATATAATATAAACACAATTGATTATAATTACTTGTATATAAAAAGTGATATTAATAATTTAAAAATAGAAATTTACTATTTGATACAACATATTAAAATACTTTAATTGTATAAAAAATAATACTACTATAATAATACATGTTAGTATAAGTTAAAGCTAATTTTTAATGTGGCCTACTATCTAAAATTCTAAATGATTACTAGCAATTCTAATTCTAATACGTGTATTTTGATAAACTAATTTCTATGTACGTGTTTCACACGTAACATCCCAATAAAGAAGAGAAAGATGAAAAAAAATAAAACAGTAAAATAAGTACAATACAATAAATAATTTCAATCTTTTCCGACATAACCAAAGAAGGAAAAAGATTTTCAAGTGTCTCAAGTCCCAGAAGTGCACGATAAATGCCGCCAAAGTCCAATACTGAAGAAGAAATTAAATGAAGTACTCCAAATACAAAGTATGGAAATGTGTTTATAACTTCTGCCCCAGGGCCTACCCCCAACCTAGAGTAGCTAGGTGGGGAAGTAAAATTAATCCTTGTTCATACATAGGCTTCTCTACACGACTAAAAATAAACATTGTTAAATTCATGCAACTTATATCTTATAAAATATCACTTGTTTAGCTAATTCATACCATATAGAGTATGTTTTATTATCACTATTGCATTTTAATTATTTATATAAACAAAGCGGGTAAGGAAGATTG